ATTAAAGGTTTCTCTCTCTCAACTGGCTAACAGTGAATGCACGGCAAGAATGAATGCCAGCCACCTTTATAAATAATTCTGCTGCTACCTGAAGCAGTTAGGATTCATGCTCATGGTCAGACTGGGCTCACTGTAGTTCTTATTAGTTGTTATTGTGGAATTATTATTGCCGCCATCTAGTGACTGCTTGTAGGCTCAAGGTAACTGATCTGCATATGGAGCTTCTTCTTGCCTAGACTTCCTCCGTTCACTTCAGAGGAGCGCTCACATGTATATGGAGTTGCCCTGCCCACTGAAGTGAATGAGAGAGTATGCACATTTGCCATATAAAGGCCAGAACACCATGCTGAACCTTGTGAATGCTGTTTGAGATCTCATCAAATGAATGGAAGAAACTTTGTAAACTGTTCCCTTGGACCTTTTGCGATCTGACTCATTCTGTCGTTCTGAAATTTGTGAATTCAAATGCCACACTGTGGTTTGGAAAACGAGGTTTCAGAAGATTCAGTAATTTCCCAACACCATTTATCAGACACTGTGTGCAGAAGAGAATGAAACATCCACTGAATCAGAAACTGATGAAGACTTTCTTGTAAGATGCCTTCTTGCTCAGCAGGTGGCACTCTTTAAAATGCAAATTAATGTGACCATTTCCCCTCATTCATTTGGCTACACCAGTGCTCTTGGTGTAAAATACAACTACTGTCACAAAATATTTTTTTTCTGTTATCCCGAATAAAAGGGAAACTTATTTCTCACCACAATTTCCAATCTGTTTACCTTAGTCACCGTTTCATTGTTTAATTCACTGATTGGGACAAAGAACACAAGAAGCAAAAAAATCCTGCTTGACTAACTATCGGAGTAAGTTATTAATTAGTCTTATCTGAAATTAAGGCTGTCACAATTTTTCATCCTTTCATCCCCTCTTTCAAGATGCTCTCCCTTCCTCCATTTTATGCTCACAATGATCAAGTGACCCGGTGAACTAAATAGAAGCTCGCTGGTCTCCCCACTCCTAGTCCCACACATTAGCTGTCTTACTAAATGACTGCGTACAGTCAGATACTAAAGGTACCATGAACCCAATCCAAGTAAATTTAGTCATGACTAAAGCTCTTTTCAGACATTACAACCGCACATGCCAGGAGCCTACCAACTGTAATACCGACCATCCTCCTGATACATGCAGTCACCCTGTGGTGTGAACAGGTGGCACATGGTTATTTACTAAACTCATCAAGCCTTGATACGTACAAATGCAAACCCTGAAAAATCCAGGCATCAGTTCACATGAACTGGGTCTGAACATATATGGTAAATAAGTATGTTGCCCCTGTTCACACAACCTGGCAATTTTCCTGAAGTTGGTAGGCTCCAATATATGTGATCTCAACATCTGTAAAGATCTTCAGGCTGTATCCCGTGAACCCTTATTTGGACAGAAGCCTGAATGACCTTGTGACGACCCCTTAACTGGGGAGGTCTGGTGTTACTTTAAAAGTGTTCTTTATATTTTATTCTACTGGATATTCCGGCTGCCACCAGGAAATTTTAAAAGGATTTCCAAACCTTTATGCTTTCTCTATTTCTGGGTAGGTATGTCGAGGGTTTAAGGCGTTCGAGGTACTATGTGGTCCTGGGAAGTATTTCTTTCAGAGTGGGTATATTTGAATAAAAGAGGATTTATTGAAGTAATTCACAAATAAAAGATTAATTCATTGTAACCAGGAAGACTTGAATATTGAACATATGCTTGGTGTATCACACTCTTTTCTCTCTTACTGACAGGGATCCGGGCATGTAACTTTGTAACCCTTTTCCCTTCAGACCATATACGGTTACTGTTTCTTTATACTTCAACTTTTCCTAACACACAAGACTGTCTCTCCTTCAGACTTCAGAATGAACTTATCAATTGTCTTATTCAACTTTAAGACATAGAACTTAACAACCCACACAGGGAAGATTCTCATTCTCTCCCATACATAGCTTAACTGAACTTTTTCTGACTTCATCAACTGTCATCTCTAACTGACCCCCTTGATAGACATTCAAATCCTCCACACAGCATCCATTCCAAAACCCCTCCCCCTCTCTGTCACTCACCAATCATATCACTTGCCTAATTCCAGCACTCTAGATTATCATCACAGCCATGCAAACCAAACTTTTAAAGCCACACACACACAGTTAAACATGAAATCATTACAGACCTGAATAGGATTTACTTCTAGGTAACAGGTTTAAGGCAGAACTGATTTCCCACTCACGCCCATGGAAGAAGTCAGATGATGAATGGAAGTACTGTAGCTTTCAATAGACTTTATCAAATTTTAGTTGACTTGGAGCTTTTATCTGTTTCCAAAGCAGGTTATAACCATGCAGAGAAAGAATACTAAACATTTAAAAACCACACTATGATGTTTGGCTAATACAGTTTTTGATGAGTACCAGGGTGTTGTGGGCAGACTTGGGTTCAAAACCCCATGTGGAGTTCTTTCTTTGGTCTTGGCAAGTCACCATTATTCACTTGAACCCACTTGACTGGACTGTGATGAGAATAAAATGGGCTCACTGAGAGAAGAGCAAAATACAAATATGCTCAGTAAATCCCCGTGACTGCACTGCCTTGTCCCGCCAGGCCTCTCGTTCTCGACTCCTTTTATTCCCTTCTGTAATTATGCGGATCAATATTAGGAAAATGATTTTCTTTTTTCCCATTGCATCTGAAGATGAGAACTCTGATTCATGAGAGCTCATGCAGAAACAAACGTTGCTAGTCTTTATGGTGCCACTGGACTTCTGTTTTGTTTTGCTATGATAGACTAACACGGCTACCTCTCTGGAACATTTAAGGCTGAGACATCTCTAGCCTAAAATATTGATGGGCTCATCTTTATGGCTTTATTTTGCTTCACAAGTGCAGGGATGTGCAGATATAAATACCCAAGCTTCCACTCTCTCCTTTCAAAAACATTCTAAAGAGAAAACTGGGGTTACTGAAGAATGAGGACTTCTGGGTTTGCAAAACTGTGTCTCGGGAGACTGAAATGTTTTCTCACAGATTTCTGAACACTGCTGTTCCCTTTCAGAGGATGAAGTGCACTAGAAACTGATACCTTGGTAGAAATCTGTTGTCTTGACAATTTACAATTCAAACATGTATTTGAGGGGGACGAAAGAAAACTACAGTCAGGCAATGCTAGATTCATACTCTTTGAACGGAGTATCTAGATAGATTGATAATAGATTAGATTAATAATAATAAAGGCTGTGTTTCTGTATCAGTTTCCCCTGAAATATGTGACAGAAATTCTAAACACTAGGTGTTATGTATTAAGATGGCCACAACTGCCTGCACCAGGCCATGCGGTCTACAGGACTCACGGACCTTTGGGTCTAGAACAATAGCCCTCGCAGATCCTAGCAAGAACCAATGGGAGCGCTAGGATCCTGAAGAGAACCTATCATTACCGGGGCTCTGTATATAGAACCTATCACGGGAGTGTGTGCACCAATATAAGCTGGGCTCACGCCGGCTAAGTTATCTTTTTTTCTTTCCAATGTAATGAATAAATGAGAGCTGATTTCACTATGCTACGCCTGGACCGCCGATACTTTTCTCTAGGGTTGCCAACCACCAGGTGGGAGCTGGAGATCTCCTGGAATTATAACTGCTCTCCAGGAGACAGAGATCAGTTTGCCTGGAGAAAACAGCCACTTTGAAAGGTGGACTCTATGGCACTATGACCCAGTGAAGTCCCTCCCCTCACCAAACCCCACCCTCCTTAGGCTCCACCCCCAAAACCTTCAGAATTCCCAACCTGGAGCTGGGAACCCTAACCACCACCACCCCAAGACAGAAAGAAGCCTTCTGGCACTTTTAAAGACTATCAGATTTATTGAAGCATAAGCTTGAATGGGCTACATCCCACCACCAAAGATACACAGTGAGGTCTAGCTATGCTTGCCAACCTGGAATGTAGATCCAGGTGATATTTTATTATGGGATGTGACCAGCTACCAAATCCGTAAGTAATGAAGAACAACATTTAAATACCAATAGATGGAGAAAGGGCCCGTTAATTAGCACAGAACAGGTGTAATTAAGATCGAGGGAGGCAGAAAGCAAAATGTTACTAAAACAAAGAGCCTTGTTGCACTTTCAAGATACTTCTGCAACAAAGAGACCTTCCGTTCTTTCGGCTGCAGCCTGCAGCAGACTCCCCTCTAGAATTGGCCGATATATTGCTGCCTTCCTAAGTCTCCCAGGCCCCTAAACTCTTGTCGTCCAACATTTAATCTCCCGCGAAATGAGCAGTGCCTCACGAAAGCTCGTACCCCGCCACAAAAGTCCTTAAGGTGCTACCGGACTCTTGCTCCAATCCCTACACAGTTTCCCCTGCAATGGAAATAATTCTTCTTATGCTTAGAGGCACTTTTACTCACTCTACATTAAGCACAGGTTCTGACCCGTATCTTAGGGATTCCCGCGCAGGTCACGCCGGAGCCTCGCCAGACACCCAAGCGACTGCCAAAAAGCGACGCCCCCCACCCCGGCGTTGCACGCCAGCGGTTCCTCTTCAACTGGACGGATCCACGGGGCAGGAAGGAGGGGGGGGGAACCCTCCTTCCATGCTCCCCAAACGGGTCGCGCGACAAACTGTTCGTCGGCGCGCTCCGCCTGATCGTCCCGAACAGCCTGAGCAGAAGCAGCCGTGGGGCGAGCGGTACACGGAGAACCCTCTAGGGGGCCGCCCAGACGCGAGTGCCTGTTTCTTTCTCCCCCCTCCGCCCGCTGCCTTAGTAGGGCCCTGCCCTGTGCAGCTCTGTACCTTCGCCCTGGGGGATCCTCCGCCGCTGCTGCCGTGCAGTTAATGCTTTCGAGTGAGACCGGACGGAGCTGGGAGGGTGACGAAGAGCAGCTGCAGCAGCCGCTCCAGCCAGGGCAAACCGGGCCATGAGCAGCTGCGGCGATTCCCCGGCTGCTTCCCCCGACTAGCACGCCCGGCTGGCCTCAGGGGATGCCTGGTAGAGAAGAGGATGAGAAAAAGCAGGGTCTGCCGGATGGTCCTGGCCACTTGTCTGGGCTCTTTGCTCCTGGTGATCTTCTACTTCCAGAGCAGCCTGAACCCAGGTAAGTTAAACATTCACCCCGCCAGCAAATCTGCCTCTTTCCCGTCCTTCCCCGCCCTTTTAGCAACTTCGCTCCCTTTGGGGATTCATTTTTCTTCCCCCCCCCCCACCCCAAACTTTCGGTCCTTTTCTTCCTAAAGTTTCTTTCTCGTTAAATACTTGAATCGCAGGGAAGCTTTTAGGGGCTGCTCTCCTTAGCCTTAAGAACGCCCCCCCCCCAAAAAAAACCCCCTTTCTGTTCCAAAGATGCAAAATGCAAGGTGCCCATTAAAAAGAGTGCCAGACTGTGATCACTGGACACCTTCAGAAGTTTTTTGTAAAATACAATCGTAGTGCTTAAAAAACCCAAAACAGTAAAATGGGTTCAATTTATGATTCTGGTCACTGTTGCTTGGGAGGCAGTCATCTAGAATTCAGTGAGCCTTCTGGGAAAGCACAAGTTTTAAATAGAATGCTGGATCAGGCTCCAAATATTTTCTTCCAAACTTTTCAACACCTGGATTTCATTGGGAGAGTTTGAGTGTGTCGTTAATTCTCATCCTGAAATCAAGAGGACATAAAAATACTTAAATTGGCAGGGTTCAGCCCTACAACAGCCTCCCTAGCAACATGATCCATATTCAGATAACGGTCAGTCAGTGTCTGAGGAAGACCTTGGAATGTAGGCATGCCTCTTCCTACTGGGGGTTCAGGGGCCACCACTGAGAAAGCCCTTCCATATGCCATAGTTCATCATAGAGGAAGGTAATGTGTTGGTAGATGTCTACTAATTTGAATGGTACTTTTCTTGAAATTAAGGCCCTTTTGATTTTGCTGGAATGTGCTTCTAAGTGCCTCAGGGTTTGGAGGATCAGAGCTCAATCCCCAGCCTTTAGTTCTATGGCTGTCAGTGGAAATGAAGCCACTCCGGATCTGTGAATTCAAATGGACCTTTTGCTGTTGGTAACTTTCATGAAACAAGACGGAGCTCTGTGGGTTGACTTATCTGAGCTGTGGCACAGTGTGTGTTAATGCCAGGTACGTGAAATACTTCAATAAGCAGATACCAACTTGCTGGGAAATCCTTGTTGAGTTGAATCAAGGAAGCGGCCCCAGGGCAGAAGTCTCTTTGAGATATTACATATTTTCTAGGTAAGATCACTTGCCTTGGTAGATGCACAGGCCGCGGGAGGATGTGGAAACAAGGGCATACCCTGTGCAAGCAAACCTGTATGTGGGAGCTGATCTTGAAATAGACACTGGTGTAATTCAGTGAGTCTGTAGCAGAGATGGAACTGGGTCAGCCGGATTCTTGCCCAGCTCTCTGTCTAGTGATGCCCCTTTGCATGGCATTCTCTGGGGGATACAAAAAGTTCTCCAAACTAACTGAGAGTGATTTGTGCATGCAGCTGCAGTGTGATGTTTTTCTTGCACATATGTCTCATTTTCACTGGTGGAGGATGCTGCGGAAGATCTGAAAAGTACAGTGTCAAGCCAGCAAAATGTCTAATAGTTGTCTGGGTTCTAGATAGAGGTCCTCTGAGGTGGGACCATGGCTCAGTGGCAGGGCAAGGGCATCTGCTTTGCTTGCAAAAGGTGCCATGTTCAGTCCGTGGGATCCCTCCTTGAAAGGGTCAGATAGCAGGCGATGCAAAAAAATCCTGAGACTCTCGAGAGTTGGAGACCTTCAGAGTAGACAGCTCTGACCTAGATCGACCAGTGGGCTGACTTGGTACAGAGCAGCTTCACAGTGACCCCCCTGGCTCTGATCTAGACACACACACACACAACTGTGTGCTACCGAATGCATAGCAAACCGCAATTCAGATAGACAGACTATCAGGAACCATGGCTTTTATTTGTCACCTTCACATTCTGGCTTTCTTCTGTCATGGAGCTCAAGGCAACACCCATAGGATTCTCAGAAAGCTTCCCATCTAGGTACTGACCAGACCCAGGTCATCTTAGCTTCAGCAAGGCTGGTGAGTCATGTGCCTTCTGATCACATGTAGGAGAAGTAAGGGACTGAATCCTCAGGATGGAGGAAAGATGAACCAGAGGAGACAAAGGCCTCTCCAAGTGGGAAACTGTCCCAACCCCCCTCCCTTTCCTGTGGGATTGAATCTTCACGCCTGCTTCCTCTTCCCTTCCCCATCAGTGTACTAGCCCCATTGCAGATAATTTGAGTATGTGGTGTTTTTCAGTCCTGGGAACATGCTCCTATGACCCCTCTGGAGCTAGGACCATGTGCCCAAAAAGACTGCTGTGCATCCTTGGTCCTAAACGGATTGTAGTATTTGGTTTTGGGAGAACAAGCTAGAATAAGGGTTGGATCCAGCCAGCTTTTTTCACTCCTTCTCATCTGATTCTCCTCCTTACTGTAGCTCCCATCCCACATGCAGGTCCCATGACTCCCAGCATTGCCTGGGGGAGGATTTAAAGGGGACCCCTTCCTCCCTTTTTGAGCACTGGAAGAGCAGGTTGGATCCAAGTGTAAACTCACTTCTTGCATGTGTGTTTTGATTTGACATGTTGCATTTAATCTCTGGATAAAAATCCTTCTGGAGTCCATACCATGAGTGCAGTTCAGAATAAGTTAAACACACTTTCGGTAAGTATTTAAACGCCCAACTGAGTGTCTGTTGCATCGATGTCAGTGGGATTTAAACACACTACACTCTCTGGATGAGGCCCGAAGTCTGTGTAACTAGGAAAAAGACTTTCAATCAATTAGAGCTTAACTTTTTAAAATTAATGCAATATTTAATGAGTTATGTCAAGACCAGAGATCATGGGTGCTGTTTTATGAAGACAGCAACTAATGAACATGGATTTTTGTTTCATTTTCATTTTCCGTTAAGTCACGGCAGATACATTGGCTCAGTCAAGGAACTAAGAGCATTGGCAACAGTGCCATCATCCATGAACAGACCTCCACAGAGGGACCACCTTAATTTAAAGCTGATACAAAACCTATAGCTAATGCTCCAATAGATTAATCTGCTAATTAATTCAATGAATTATTTCAGCTATACAACTAAACAGCTCAGGCTTGAGAAGGTTTCTGATCGCCCTGTCTGTTTGCTACAAAGTACTAACTTGGCATTTTCTGAAAAATATGATGGTATGAAAGTTAGGCTTTGATTTTCTACTGCCATTTTTCATGATGCAGCTGTTATCATAAATTTAGCTGATCAAAGTTTCCTTCTTGTAATCAGTATGGATGAAAAGAGATGACATTTCAATTTTATTTTATTGGGGGAAGGTATAATTGAGTTGATGAATAACAGACAGTTTGAACAGGGCATGATGAGGTTGGTATGTTATAAAATTTACCGTTATGGGATCGTACAGAGTTTACTGGACAGCTTCTACATTTTTGAGAAAACTGTGTTTGAACCTTTGCCTGCCAATCATGTACTTTGAAAGTAACAGCAGTTTTATCTCAATGAAATTCTCACTTGATAAAATTTACCACAAGAGGTGCACAACCCTGAGCCGCACTGAATTTGGGGGGAAAGATTTGCACTAACAGTGCAAATGTCCGTCACCAGAAATAAAGTGGTTTTGCATTGCTTTGGGTAGAACTGCTCTGATCGTGTTGAGTAAGAGAGGTCAGGATTCCATGACCTGGCTTGGCTGTTTACTTTTTAAAGAAAAAGCAAATAATTCCGCAGACACCTGTATTAACAAAAATGTATCAGTCTGGAGGGAAGGAAACCTAGTGTGGGAAAATGGAGCAGCGTCATAGACGTGATTCTACAGGTTGGTGGACTGATAGCTGTGAATAACCAGAGCTAAGCCTGGATCTTCTCTGCTTTGTGTTAAGCCCCCAAGCCCTTTGCTTGCTTCAAGTATGGGCTGCTGGGATGGTTGGAGGAATCGCACTTTGTTTCCCAATAGGCTGTTTTCTGCCCAGGAAAGTGGCTCTATGTAAGAGCCATCTTGGAAATGATAGGCAAGCTCTTTGTGGCAGCAATACAGTGTTCTTTTGTTGCTTGGTAAACTTTGTGCTTGTCTCACCTGGTCCTGATTCTCGTATCTGTGTTTTGTAGAATCTGCTTGAGTCTTCTTAACCTGCAAGTGATCCTTACAGGCTCTCTGGGAGGATGAACCTTTAATGCCCCTCTAAGTTCTTGTACTGGGTCTGTTCAGTTTCTCCTTAACTTATTTATCCTGATGAAGGTCTTCTGTTGCTTCCATGTCTTTCTGGTTCCTGTCTATCCTGGAGCCAGAAGTTACATCTTCAGTTCTACTTCTGTCCCTTTTCATTCCGGCCTAACCTTGATGCCCCAGGGCCTCAATTTTCAGCCCGTCCTGCCAACTGCCTCTGCTTTAAGTCTGAATTGCCGGCTAGTGCTGAGTTTTGTCTCATGGAATTTTCTCAAGGTCCTTTTTGCCTCTTTGCTTAGAATATTTAAGTATATATAAATGAAGACATATTTTCCGGGAGGACTTTTTAGTTGAACCTTATCTAAATACAGGTTTGGTGTGAATTTTAACCTTGGCGGAACTTGGCTGATCCTGGGGGTTGGACTTTCTTGTGTGTTCTGCTTTTATTTTTATTTTTTTCATTTGAAGAAGGCTAGCAAGCTACCCCAACAAAATAAGTGGGAGAATAGGCTGTACTAATACTCATATTCGAATATTTCTTTATATTAATGAGTATAAACTGTTTGGTGCAGTGGTTAAGTGTGCGGACTCTAATCCGGGAGAACCGGGTTTGATCCCCCACTCCTCCACTCACAGCTGCTGGATGACCTTGGGTAAGCCATAGTTCTGTCAGAGCTGTTCTTGAAAAAGAGCAGTTTCTGTCAAGAGCTCTCTCAGCCCCACCTACTTCACAGGGTGTCTGTTGTGGGGAGGGGAAGGGAAAGGAGTTTGTAAGCCACTCTGAGACACCTTTGGGTAGTGAAGGGCGGGGTATAAATCCAATCTCTTCCTCTCCTTCATCTCCTTCTTCTCAATATTCACATGTTATAGTAGGTTTTACCCCTGGCTGTAGAGATTTCACTACTTGGC